CGCTTTGGCGAATGTGTCGCGCCAAGCGTGAGTGTTCAATATACGTGCTGGTCTCCATGTCAGCACGCTACGGGTTGCGTGTTGCGTATTGGGGCAGCGAAGGACAGGAGCCAGGAGGATGTGGACATGGTCGGGTAGTGGCAGCAGTCCAGTGCCACAGCTGCTGCCTAGAAGCCTCGCTGTGGGCCTCGGCGCGAGTAGGGCCGTCCCGCACCTGCGCATGTCTGCATGCGTTTGCAAGCACGTGAGCACATGTGTTCCACTGCGGTGAGCCCTCTACGATTGCACGTATTCTCATGCACGTGCGCTTGCTTTGCATGCGCAAGCGCATGTGCGTGCCGACTTTCATGCGTGCGTCGATACGCGCACGGGCATGGAGTAAGGGAGTATGTGTGCACTCCGATCGGGGCCGGGGAGCGCAGGCGCCGTCGCGTCCCATGTCGGCGACGACCCCGGCCACCGCTCCGCGGCAAGACGCCAAGCAGCCCCCGCAGAACGACCTGGACCAGCCTCAGCCGGAGCATCAAGAGCAGCGGCAGCAGCAGCAGCCCCCGCCGCGGCCCCAGCAGGACGCGATGCTTTAGCATCTCGTGGGTTCCCGGGCCCGCTGTGACCGAGCACAGGAAGATCTCGATAGATTTGTGACACATCTTGCATCCCCACCAGCCCATCCAGAAGCGCCGCTTCGCGGTAAGAGGGGAAGCAGTGTAGCCATGCTGAGACAAAGAGGGGGGACACCAGTCACAACAAAATGCTCGTTTCATTGTCGCGTGGGCAGGGGTCGGGGGGAACCCCCCAAAACAAAATGCAGGCGGGTGTAGGAACTAGGAGACCACCCTTCCTGCGCGTTGGTCATCGCACTGGGGGGAGATTCGAAGCAGGTGGAACCCTCCCCGTACTTCGCACGCTGCGGGTCGGGCAGACTCCGAACGCTGCCTCGCGCCTTGGGTGGCGACCGATTGTAGGGCGCAGGGCTGCTTCACTCACCCCTTGTCCCCAGACATCGACCCTTCAATGTGTAAAGCATTCAGAAAGAAAGCATTGTTGTGTACAAATATAGGGAGATCGCTGAGTAAAGTATGCTGTGTGCTCCTTTTCTTCCTGCTTCGCTTTCGCCACGGCGGGCGCTTGGCAGGACATGCTTGTGTTACGTGTGTTGTTAAGTACGTTTCTAGGTGTCTCTCCCCTAAACAGGGCACTTACGGGAGCGAAGGCGTGTATTAGATATCCTGCCGTGCGCTCAGCGCGTCTCGAGCTTCGCAGTGGGCAGGATTGTGGTTATACTGTTTCGTGTACCCCGGTCGGCACTTTGCTCCTGTAGCGAACAAGGTATGTATTATATGTCGCTTGCCTCTGCCTCGCCCGCTGCACAGCAGGCGCTTCACAGAGCGCGCGCCCGTTGTCTTGATTGAGTTCTGCCGGCTTCGCCGCATCAAAGCGCGAAGTATGCATTCGCGCTGCAGGGCGCTTTAGCTGTGATCTGTCTCCCTTGTGCTTGGTGTTCGCTGGTCCAGCACCATGCCCTCGTCGTTGTCGTTATCGTCGTCCTTGTTCTTGCAGTGGTCGTCGTCGTCGTCGCAGTCATCTTCGGTGTCGTCGTTGTCCGCGTGGTCATCGTCGGGGGAGGTTCTCCCACCCAATCACACATGCACCACTTGTACGGGATAGGGGGCAGAGGAAGAAGCAGTCTGGGATCGCTCGGATATTGCAAGGGCTCCTCGGAAGCCATACAGGCGAGAATGCTGGCATCAGTGATCACTTGGTTTGATTTCACATCTGTAATATTTGGGCCTCGCGGGGATATTCGCGGGTGGTCATGCGGCCACATCAGAGCCATCCTGGTGCCTGCTTGGGGCGACGTGCACTCATGCTGGAGGCTATCTCGGGCCAGCTCGGGCGACATACGTAATATTGGAAGCAATCAGATTGGCCGTCTGGGTCAGATTGAACCATCTTGGACGTTCTGGCGACCAGGGAGCATCGGGAGAGGTGAACCTTTCCCGGAAGGGGGAGAAGATGTTGACTTGCAGGAGCTGGTTCGCTAAATCGCCTACACCACAGGGCCTGAGGGCTAATCGCCCCATCGGGTCTCATAGCGCTGGACACACAGCCCATGTCAGTCTCTTCTTCTTGTTCGCATCGTCAACGTAAGTTTGGTTGGGTTGACGTGAATAGTTCACACATTCAGTCGATGGTGTCAAAGCGGTTGGCACTTCAGGACGTGCCCGCCTACGTTATTTCGAGCCATGCTCCACACCGTTCCAGGTGTATCGTTGGCATGGGAGGCGGCCGGGGAGGAGATCCGGGAGCGAACGTGGAGAAGTGAGGGGTGGGGTGAGAGAAGAAAGGAGGAAAGAGAACGAGGATGGAGAAGGCAAGCTGGTAGGGAGAGGAACGAGGAGGAAGTAGAGAAATGGAACACAATGGCCCATGGTCAACACACGATTGAAGCAATGCCTTTTGCAGCGAGCACTTGGAGGCATCGTGCACACATAGACCCGAATCATTGTTGGTGTTGGAAGATCTTGTTTTGTGTCTCAGCGCCCGCTCCTGACAACCGTGTCGGACACAGACCCAAGAAAGCATTAGCCATAGCACCTTAGGAGGAGGGAAGGAGGGGAAGGACGAGGAGAGGAGTGGGAGGAGGAGGAGGAGGCGGAGGATCGAGGGAAAGAGGGAGGGAGGAGGAGCAACGAGATGGAGGAGGAGGGGGAGGAGGAGGAGGAGGAGGAGGAGGAGGAGGAGGAGGAGGAAGGAGGATGGACACGGAGGAGGAGGAGAAGGAGGGAGGGAGGGAGAGAGGGAGGGATGGAGGAGGAGGAGGACGAGGAGGAGGAGGGGAGGAGGAGGACCAGGAGGAGGAGGAGGGGAGGGGCAAGGGGAGGGAAGGGAGGTGCATCCCCCTCCCCGCCCCGCGCGCTCCCAGCGCGGCCACTCCGCATCGCGCACGTCGCGGCCGCCCTCCGCCGCCGCCCGCGCCTCGGCGCGTGGCTCGCGCCCGCCCTCGGCGCGCAGGGGCCAGGACCTCCAGGCAGCGCGCGGCCGCCGCTGCCCGCCGCCCGCCCGCCCCCTCCATCCCCCGTCCTCCCTCCCGCCCTCCTCCATCAGCCCCCCCTCCCCGCCCTCCCTCCCTCCCTCCGTCCCTTGCTCGCTCCTCCTCCTCCCTCTCGTCTCCTCCTCCTCCTCCTCCTCCTCCTTCCTCCTCCTCCTCCCTCCGCCCTCCTCCCTCCTTCGTCCCTCCCTCCCTCCCTCCCTCCCTCCCGCTCCGCCTCCCCCTCCTTTCTCCCCCCCTCCTCCTCACGATGCTCCTCCGTCTCCTCATCCTCCTCCTCGTCGTTATCAATCCTCCTCCTCCTACTCATGCTCCTCCTCCTCCTCCATCTCCTCGTTCTCCTCTATATCCTCCTTCTCCTCATATTCCTCCTCCTCCTCCTTCTCCTCCTCCTCCTCTCTCCTCCTCCTCTCCTCCTCCTCCTCCTGCTCCTCCCTCCTCTCCTCCTCCTCCTCCTCCTCCTCCTCCTCCTCCTCCTCCTACCCCTCGTGCTCCCTCCTCCTTCCCCTTTCTATCCGCAGTCATTGTGGTTCAAGATGTTCATTGGTCGTAACAGAGCACGGGGACATGTTGGTCCAGTGCCAACATCGGACCACTTTTCCCGCCGTCCTCGCGCCCGCGGGCGCTGCTGTGTGCGTGGCTTTTCCCGGCAGTTGTCAAGCCGCGCCGAAAAACCACACCCACTAGCATTGTGGCATCATCCTTCTCGTTTGTGCCACCCTCCTTCTTACTCGCCCTACTCGTTCGCCCTCCTCCGTCGCCCTACCTCTCCTACTTCTCATCCGTCGCGTGCGTTCTCTGCCACACGGCCAGCGCCGCGAATCAGAGGCTGCCCTCGCAGCAGGTGGCCCTCCCCTGAAATGGTTCCGCTTCTAGGCGTGGGGACGCCTCAGGGCATGCGTTTTGGCTTGAAGAAGCGTCCATGGGAGAAAGGGGGGAAGGACGAGGGTGGCCTCGAGCTCATATCGTGCGACTCCTCGCTCCTGACGCTGGGTGTGCTGTCCACCTCTGCAACGATGGCAGCCCGCTCCCAGCATGTGCGCCCGACAGCTTCAGACTGGCCTGCGGCCCCTGCATGTGCTCGGGGGTCGACGGCCGACGCAGGCCCTGACAGCATCAGACTGGGGAGATGTGTGCCATCGCGGGAACGCCGGGAAGCGGCTCGGCGGATCGAGAGGCGCTTCCGAGCCCTCCTCGGCCTCTTGCTCCACCTCGAACTTCCCATTCCCCGAAGAAGAACAAGTATTGCATGAACATACAGTCAACGCGCATAGGACGCGCGCCTTCTCTACGGTACCCTTGTGTCCTTGCCTCTACGGCCCGTCCTGTGCCGTTTCCCCTGGCCAGCCTCTCAGGCCGCCGCCCAACAAATCCCAACCTCGGCCTCCAAGGGTCTCGCGTCCTTACCACCCGTCCTTATTATACGTTTTCACTGTGAACTTTCAGAGGTCCGCGCGGATCTCTTGGATCGGCCCTGGACCCCCTCCCCGGCGGCGCTTCCGCGGGCGCCCCAGGCGCGCTCCGCTCGCCAGGGAAGAGGGCTCGGCGCCTCCAAGGAGGGGGGGGGGGAGGAGGAGGAGGAGGAGGAGGAGGAGGAGGAGGAGGAGGAGGAGGAGGAGGAGGAGGAGGAGGAGGAGGAGGAGGAGGAGGAGGAGGAGGAGGAGGAGGAGGAGAGGAGGAGGAGGGGAGGAGGAGGAGGAGGAGGAGGAGGAGGAAGGAGGATAGAGGAGGAGGAGGAGGAGGAGGAGGAGGAGGAGGAGGAGGAGGAGGAGGAGGAGGAGGAGGAGGAGGAGGAGGAGGAGGAGGAGGGGAGGAGGAGGAGGAGGAGGAGGAGCTCAGCGCCTCCAAGGATTCAGCGCGAACCTCTGGGAGTGTATATAATCGCAGGTTGTTCCCTTTCCTATCCGTCGTCCTTCCGCTCCGCGATGCATGTCCGCGCCGACGGACGCACCGGCTCTCAGGAGGACTCGTTCATCTTCGACGACGAGGGCGACGGCGAGGACCGCCAGCATCCCCAAGAGACGGCGTGAAGAGCGTATGGGGGCGGCATGGGGCATCCGGAAAAATGTCTGCAGCAGCGGCTGGAGTACCAGGAGGGGAAGCAATAGGAAGAGGAGTGAGAGTTGGAGGACCAGCAGCAGCAGCAGCAGGAAAAGGGGGACGGGGACGGGGACTGAGACAGGGGACCGAGACGGAGACGGGGAATTGAGACGTGGATTGTGTACACAAGAAACGGCGGACCAGGCAGGATGAAGAGGATCAGTAGGAGGACGGGAGTAAACTCAAGATGTGTCTGCGATGTTGCAATAGACCATCCCGCGCCGAGCCCCATCAGTCCCTAGAGTTCTTCCTGTTCATTACAAGAATCGCCCCCTTGAAAGACCAGAGCCAGAGCTCCGCTTGGAAAATGAACGGCCCTGCATCCTTGGGAAACTGCGTGAACGTATGATCACACAATTGAGCGAGGGGTGCAGCGAAATGTCCGCCTTGAAGAAGGGCCGCTCCCCATCCGTTCAGCTGCCGCACAAGTTTACAAGTCTGGGTATGAAACGCGATGAAAGTTCCATCCAGGGTCCCAGGCATTTTTCTTTAATAATAATAATAATGATACCAGAGAAAAACCCAATCAGAATTTGGAGGGGCTATGGGGCTTTAGGGCTATGGGGCTATAGGGCTATAGGGCGATGTGGCCATAGGGATATAGGGCTAGAAGCCTTTAGGGCTATGGGGCTATAGGGCTACAGGGCTATAGGGCTACAGGGCTAAGGGCTATAAGGCTATTCGGGCTATAGGGCTATAGGGCTATAGGGCTATAGGGCTATAGGGCTATGGGGCTATGGGGCTATGGGGCTATGGGGCTATTGGGCTATTGGGCTATATAGGGCTATCGGAGGTGAGGGGGTGAGATCGAAGTGGAACGGCGAGCCCCCCACCGGGAAATCGGTTTCGGTTTCGTGTTCGTGCGTGCCGTGCGTGCGAGGCGAAGCTGCGTGGGCGGGCGAGAAAAAGTCTCCTGTGGCTGAGGCGCGGCCGGACCAAATGTTTCTCTTCCGGGGCGCGGGGCCCCGCGGTGTCCCGCCGGTGTCCCGCGGTGTCCTCCTGTGGCTGAGGCGCGGCCGGACCAAATGTTTCTCATCCGGGGCGCGGGGCCCCGCGGTGTCCCGCCGGTGTCCCGCGGTGTCCCGCGGTGTCCCGCGGTGTCCCGCGGTGTCCCGCCGGTGTCCCGCGGTGTCCCGCGAGGATGATGATGATGATGATGATGATGATGATGATGATGATGATGATGATGATGATGATGATGATGATGATGATGATGATGATGATGATGATGATGATGATGATGATGATGATGATGATGATGATGATGATGATGATGATGATGATCCCCCGATGAAGATGATGATGATGTTGATGATGGTGTCGATGATGATGATAGTGTCCCGATGATGAGGATGATGATGCTCATGATGATTATGTTGATGATGATGACGATGATGGTGTCCCGATGATGATGATGATGATGATGATGATGATGATGATCCGATGATGTTGGTGATGATGATGTTGATGGAAATGGTGTCCCGGCGATAATGATGTTGATGATGATGATGATGATGTTGATGATTTTGGTGTCCCGATGATGATGCTGATGATGATGATGATGATGATGATGATGATGGTGATGCTGATGGTGGCCCGATGATGATAACAATTTCTAATGACGATGTTGATGATGATGTTGCTCATGATGATGACGGTGCCCCAATGATGGTGACGATGATGTTGATGATGATGATGATGATGTCGATGAGGATGATGATGCGATGATCATGGTGATGATGGTGTCCCGAGGATGATGACGATGTTGATGATAATGTTGATGATGAGAACGATGGTGATCATGATGGTGTCCCGATTATGATGATGATTATGATGATGCTGCTGATGATGATGACGATGACTGTGTCCCGATGATGATGATGATGATGATGATGATGATGTTGATGATGCTGATGATGGTGATGATGATGATGATGTTGTCCCGATGATGATGCTGACGTTGATGATGATGTTTATGATGATGACGACGGTGCGCTCATGATGATGACGATGTTGGTGATGATGTTGATGTTGATGATGTTGATGCTGATAATCATGATGATGACGTTGATTGTGAGAGCGATTGTGATATCGATAGTGAGATCGGTATTGAGACCGAATGTGAGATCGATTGTGTGATCGATTGTGAGATCGATTGTGAGATCAATTTTGAGATCGATCGAATGAGATAGATCGAGTGAGATCGATTGTGAGATCGATCGAGTGAGATCGATCGAGCGAGACCGATAGTGAGATCGATACTGAGATCGATAGTGAGACCGATCGAGTGAGACGCTGGTTCCCCCCCCGAACCTCCTTATCACCCGAAGGGTGGTCGTCTAGGTACGGCTATAGGGCTATAGGGTTATAGTGCTATAGGGATATATGGCGATTGGGCTATTGGGCTATAGGGATTTAGGGCTATTGGGCTAGGCACCCCGGGGCACTTCTGGGCACCCCGGGCACCCCTGGGCACCCGGGCACCCCGGGGCACCCCGGGGCACCCGGGCACCCGGCCCCGGCCACCGAAATCGGCCACACACCTGGGCACCCGGGCACCCCTGGGCACCCCCGGGAACCCCCGGGCACCCGGGCACCCGGCCCTGGCCACCGAAATCGGCCGCCCACCTCACCTCAGTTTTATATCCGCTAGGACCCCTACAGAGGCAAGCTCTGATTGGGGAAGAATAGCAATAATATTAATAATACTCCAAAGAAAAAGAAATATCCCGGCAAAGCAACCTAACAGCGATGTGTAGAAGCATATCTGAAAGCATTCCCCTTAAGATTCAGATGAAAATCCAGTTGTCGAATTCTGCTGTTCTCGCAGTCGTAGTCGCATTCGCGATGACAGTCGCAGCGGCAACGGCAGTCGCAGTCACAGCCTCAGCCTCAGCCTGCCTCAGCCTCAGCCTCAGCCTGCCTCAGCCTCAGCCTGCCTCAGCCTCAGCCTCAGCCTGCTTCAGCCTCAGCCTCAGTCTGCCTTCAGCCTCGGCCTCAGCCTCAGCCTGCCTCAGCCTCAGCCTGCATCAGCCTCAGCCTCAGCCTCAGCCTGCCTCAGCATCAGCCTGCCTCAGCCTCAGCCTCAGCCTGCCTCAGCCTCAGCCTCAGCCTGCTTCAGCCTCAGCCTCAGTCTGCCTTCAGCCTCGGCCTCAGCCTCAGCCTGCCTCAGCCTCAGCCTGCCTCGGCCGCAGCATCAGCCTGCCTCAGCATTCAAAATGTGGCCCAGGAATGGAGTTCTGGCAACTAGAAGAACACGAAGTGGCCTATAGTTGGCTCCGGGCATTCAAAATCATGCCCAGGAATGGAGTTCTGGGAACTTGAAGAGCATGGAGTTCTGGGAAATCGAAGAGCACGAAGTGGCCTACAGTTGGCTCCGGGCATCCAAAATGTGGCCCGGGAATGGAGTTCTGGGAAGTCGAAGAGCACGAAGTGGCCTACAGTTGGCTCCGGGCATCCAAAATGTGGCCCGGGAATGGAGTTCTGGGAGCACCAAGAGCGATTTCGCGAGGATGTTCCAAGCGATTCCGGCTTCGGCGGCAGCCTCCCCGGGTCCCGCCGGGTCCCGCCCAGACCCCCCTGAGGAGTCATGATGAGACCACTAGAAACCTATCAGCAAGAGCTGTTAGGTAAAAACGCCCTCCATCGGTGCAGCTGCCACAGATGTTGAGTCGCATGGTCTTAGACGCAAGCAAATCTTAGACGAAAGCCCATGTCGAAAGGAAACCGCCCTCCAGCATTGCAAATGTTGCCAGATTTGCGCTCAGGCGCGAGCCCTGTTAAGAAAAGGAACCGCTCTCCACTTTGTGTAGCTGTTACAAAAGTGTGCGGCGAATGCGCGCTGCGCGCAGGCGAGAAGCCCAGTTTGAATAGGAATTGCCCTCCATCCCTGCAAATGCTTTGCAACGACGGATGCGGGCGGCGCTGAGGCGAGCGCCCCAGTTTGAAGAGGACTCGCCCTCCATCCCAGCAGATGTTGCACTTGCTTGAAGTGACCGCGCCAGGCGCTGAGGCGACAGTCCCGTTTTGGAAATCAGCCCATCCATCCTCGCAGCGGTTCAGAAATCTACGACGAATGTGCGCGGCGCTAAGGCAAGAGCCACGCTATCAAAACCATCCCTTTCCTTCCTTCCTTGTCGCTATTGCAAGTTTTTCGACGAATGCGCGAGGCGCTAAGGTGCCCCCTCCCTAGTAATTGGCGCAAGGTGTTAGGACGAGCGTACGCGGCGCTAGGTCGAGAGCCCCAATTTGGGAAACCACCTGTGTTCCATCCTGGCAACTCTTGCGACTCAAGATTCCGGGTCGTCAGTGGCGAGGGGGTATGAGGCGATACGCTTGGCCTGTCGTACCGAAATTGGGCGGAGCCACGCACAATGAGTGTATTATCAAGCCAGTGTTAGGACAGGTCTACACACCATGAGCGCCAGCAGCGGGGGAGAGCCATGGCTTAGAACTGTCACGCGAGGTGCTCTGCCCCACGAGCGAGCGCGCCAGTCCCCCAGTGAAGAAGAGGAGGAGGAGGAGGAGATAAAAACAGGAGCAGGAGGAGAAAAAGAAGGAGCAGGAGCAGGAGGAGCAGGAGAAACGAGACCTCTGACGCCTCGAGCGTCTTCTCCCGCGGCATGCCAAAGAAAGAAGCTACACCTGGGAGGAGGAGGAGCCCCAGCAGCAGCAGGAGCAGGACTAGGAGAGGCTGCAGCGAGGCAGCGGCAACGGCAGCGGGGGCGGGCGCAGCGGCAGCCTGGAGGAGGGCGGAAGGCGGCCATGAAGGTTGGCGCCCGCTCGCCGCCTTTCCCGCCCACTCCGGGCGGCGCCAGGACCTCGACGCCGGCTTCTTCGGCGTCGACAGCGCGGGCCTCGGCCTGCTTCAGACTGGGCCCGCCCACCTGTGTAGGGGGGGGGGGGGGGGGCAGATGTCCTGGCGCGTCTGTGTGTGTTGCCCCGATGTCCTGTCAGGCTCGTACTCCGAAGCCCCTGTTTGACGCTCTCTGGCACGACTCCTACCCAGAGCCTGGGCCGCAGCACTGGCGCTTTGCTCTCCATGGTCTGCGCGTTTGGCCTAGTTCCAGTCCGCTTGCCGCGGCCGCCCGCCTCTCCCCCCTCCCTCCTGGGCGCAACTCTGCCGAAGAGCACCCTGTTTCGGCCTTCCCGCGCGTAGCGAACGCCCGCGCTGTGACAAAAAACGTGATTGCCCCGGTGCTATGGCGATGGGCGGCTCGAGTCGTTTGTCTGGATGTTCGGCCCAGGCAGCGGCACGTCGGCGTATTGAAAAACGGGCGTATCAAAACCGGCCTATGTGGGAGCGCTTGACGAGGCCAGGGGGGCACCCTCACACCTGAGCTGATTTGGGGGCCAGGCGTCATTGCTTTATCCGGCTGCTCCACTTCTAAATTATTTATGTACGTTGTGTGTATGTATGTATGTATATATATATATATATCAAATTCTATAGATCTGTATGTATGTATGTACGTATGTATGTATGCGCGTTCCTGGTCAGCCCACCGATGTCAACAAGAGCACGTCCTTGAAGCCCAAATCAAGTCGGAGCCGAAGAGTCCCCCACACAACCCATGGGTCTACCCCTGTGTCCCAACCTCCCCCCACCCTTTTACTCCTCCACTCCATCCTCCTCCATAGCCAATTCGGCTCAAACGTCTGTTCCCTCGTGGAGAGGAAACACGTGCCGTTATTCCGCGTTTGGCACGGCTGTTCAGCCGGGTATTTTTCTTCAGCCTTCACTGGGGGATGTGGGCTCCCTCACCCAGCCCAAACGACGTTCCGAAACAGAGTCATCGTGTCCCGCCGGCGTTTCAGAACAATGGAACTGCGACGCCGAAGGGCGAAGAGGAGAAACGTCGTGTTATATTTCTGTGTTGTTGCTGTTGCTGCTGCTGGTGCTGGCGATGCTGATGTCCCCACCTTCACCATGGACGAAGGCGACGACAATGGTTCCGAGGAAAACTTCAGTGGTGAGCACGTTCGCTCGATTTGCGGCAGTGTGATGGCGGAGCACCTTGGCAACATCAAGCCGCAGGTGAACGAGGCCATTGCTGGCGCAGTCAAGGAGGGGTGCAGGCCGAGTCCAAATCCAGATCTTAAAAGTTCCAAGAAAATTCCGGCAACTACTTCAAAGAGCACCCGAATGACCTCGAGGACTTGCCCTGGATATTCGACCAGCAGATACTAGACACTGCCAGCCCCCGGATGGACCGTTTGCGCCAGGAGTTCACGGAAAAGCACGACGAATTGGCAGCAGGCGTGGACCCGCTCGGTGCGATGGCGCAGGCTCACTCGTCGGAGCTCGCAGCGTTGCAGGCCACAAGCAAGCATGTGCAGGAGGCGCTAGCCGTGGCCGACCAGAAGCCGATCAAGACGCTGGTATTCTCGTTTCATTTTGACAGGAAGGTGGATTGCTCAATCGTCAAGATCAACCCGGGCAAGCTCGCGTCCAACAACGTGGCGCTGGAAGCCATCGCCCTGTGGCTCATCTGCGCTGGCTTCGCAGATGACTGGTGGCACTTGGAGTCGGAGGATATTTGGATTTGCTTCACAGTGCTCGCGCTGCGGGAGGCGAAGGAATGGTCGCGAGCCAGGTTGCCACGGCGCTGTCCACGCCCCGCATGGGTGCCCCATGGCGCCATCGCGACGCGGAGACTCAGAGTGGAGGTGCCCAGACGAAATTGCGCATCAGCGGGGACAAGGGGCCGCGCACCATCAAGCTGGAGACTCGGTCGCAAGGCACGGCAGCTGCCCGCCGCCGAGGTCGACGAGGCCCACCGCGCCCCGCGGCTCAGCATCGAGCCCAAGGAAGGGCGGGACCCGACGGATATCTAGCGGTGCCACCAGGTGTTCGCCAAGATCGGATACACGAAGATGGAATTGGCAGACGAGATTGCCAGCGCAATCGGGCATGATCAGGAGCCGCAGTGGCGACGAGTACAACAAATTTGCGAAGTTGTTCGGCATGCCCCCTAACCCGCAGATGCAGGACGCAGAGGCCACAGGAGGGTTGCGGTTAAATTCGTGCGATTGCATGGCGCCGCTGCAGTATGAGAGCGCCCGTGCGATTGCTCAGTTGGGATGCGTGGATCGCATGTGATCTGGCTCTTCGACGCCTGCTGTCCACAAGGTGCACCAAGATCCCCTCCACTTGAATGCACGTTTCAAGAAGGCCCCCTTCGGGCCATCATTGTTCCAAGCTTCTGTGGGGGCGATCGCGCTGGGTGCGTCCGAGGTGGAGCAGCCGCGGCAGCGCCTGGCGTGTCGGGAAAGGGCAATCCAGCCCCTCTCCCCCCCCTGGCGCCTCCGCCGCCCCCCGCGCTGACGTTCCCGGCAGTGCCCGGCGGGCGTGTTTGAGTCTCTGGAAAGTGCGCCAGTCCCTGGAATGTCCATAAGTACGATTTGCCCCAGTCCAAGATCCAGGGTGCGCGCGGCGCGATCTCCCACCAGATAGCTTCCTAGGCCTCTTTGGCATTGTTGGTGGTTGTTCATGCGCCCCGCTGTGCTGCCGCGCGGAAGCGGCTCGCGGGGCATCGCGGCGATCGGCCCAGCGACGCCGACGGCCGCGCGGCCCAGCCGCCGCCGAGCCGCGCCCGGCTTTCGCATAAATTCTGCTTCGAGGAAGTCGCGCTGGAAGTGCGGCCGCGATCGTGCGGGGCGCCTGTGGCGAGAGGCCGCCTCTGCGATGGCTGGCGCGCGCTCGGCATCCGCTGGCCGCCGCCGTCGCTCAGGCCCTTCAGCTGGCGGTCGCGCCCCCCCCCCCCCTGGCGACGCTGCTGCGGGCGAGCCCGCCAGCCCCGCTGCGCGCCGCGCGCGCTCGCAGCAGCTCAAGCACGACGACGAGCACCCCCTCATCGAGGCGGCCAAGCGCCACCTGGCTGTTTGGGAGGCCGAGGAGCGGCGCGCCCAGCCGCCCGAGCGCCTCGACGAGGCCAGGGGCAGCGCTGGCCAGGCGGCCGCCTCCCTGGCTGAGGCTCGCGCCACCGTGGACCGCTTCGGCCGGCAGCAGGCCGCCTGCGCCGCGGAGGTCGCCACGCTGGCGGCCGAGGTCGCGGCTGCCCAGCGCGCGGTCGCCGCCTCCGCCGCGGGGGGGGGGTCGACCTGGCCAATCTCGCCTCCGCGCCGGTCGGCCTCCAGGCCATCCTATAGCGCTGTCCCCGCGCGCGTCGCCAGTGGCCCCAGCGCGGACGTCCTGGAGGCCATTGACAGCCAGGTGGGCGCGGCCTTCCCAGCTGCCAGCGCCTTGCAGGCCAGCGCCCCCCTCGCGGCCGCCCTCGCGGCCGCTGGCCCCCCGCCGCGGGCGGGCCGCGGCCGCCAGCGCCTGCTGCCGCGGCACCCGCGCCCGGCGCTGCCCCGCCTCCCCTCGGCGCTGCTGGGGGCGCCCGCGGGGCCACTGCACCCGCGGCCGCGTCTGAGGCACCTTCCCCTGCGACCCCAGGCTCGGAATGGGAGGGCTTCGGCATGGCGGACACGGGCGACTAGAGGGCGAGGCCTTCGCGGCGGCGCGCGGCGGAGTGCTGGCCTGGCCACGTTCAACGGATCGTCGCGGAGCACGCGCCGCCATTTCCTGGGGCACTGCGACCGGCATGTCCTCGCAGTGGCTGCCCAGGAGCTCCGCGTGGATGGCGGCGAGCTCCGTCGCGCGCAGGGCCAGGCTGCGCGGGCAGGCTGGCACGCGGCGCTGTCGCCTTGCAGGCGGCTCGGCTCGGACATGCCTTCTGCTGGCGCGGGCATCTTCGTCGGACGGCGCATCGGCGTCACCACTTTGCCCGGGCTAGGCAGTTTCGATGCGGCGCCGAGTTTCGCGGCGGCCTGTCACGCGGACTGCGGCATCAGAGGTGGTTTGATCTTGGTGCCTGCGTACGTCGAGGTGGACAAGTGGGCCATTGGAGTTAATGCCTCCAGGCTGCTCGACATTGCGATGGCGCTCCGTGGATGGAACAGGCCCTTCGCGATGGCTGGCGGCTTCAATTGCGACCCTTCCCGTCTGGACGAGGACGGCTTCTTGGAATCCGTCACTGCAAGGGCCGTGAAAAAGGCCTTGCAGTGGGCTGAACGTTGGCGCGTGTCGCAGTGCTCAGGGGGGCGATTCCAAAATCGACTTCTGGCTGACTAGCCTGTCCATCTCGGGTTCGCCGTCGCTGCCACGCCCTGGGCACGGTTGGCCCGCGGCTCTGCATTTCCCGATGGCGACGCACATAGGCGCGCGCGCCAAGTCGGTCAAGTTCCCGATGCTAGCCGGGCCCAAGTCCTCCAAGAGCGGCCCCTGAGGACGAGGCGGCGGCGGCTCCTAGCGCGCACCAGCAGCAGGTCATCGAGAGCGACGTCGCCTTGGGTGGTGAGGCCACGGCGCACCAGGCGCAGGTGCGGCTTGACGGTTTCTACTTGGTGTTCATGCGTACTGCTGAGGACGAGCTCATCGCCCGCTACGGCATCGCCAAGGCCGACGCAGACCGCTACCATAGCAGAGCGGGCAAGGTCGTCTACCGCTGGCGCCAGGCCGGGGGCGCCCCCGCTGCCGCTCGACCCGCAGTGCCATGAGCGCCACGACATCCGTGCGAAGCCGCTCTTCAGCTTCACCAGGCCCCCTGATTCCCCCAACCTCCCGAGTGCTGCGCCACGGCCGTCACTCCACCATGGCGCAAGACGTCGCTGATGATCAGATGAGCGGGTGGTCCTGCATCTGGCACGCGCAAGCCGTCTCCGACATGCCTACGCTGGAGTCAGCGGAGGGTGTCGGTGCTGGCGACGACTGTCTTGGCGTGCGGCACTGACCTTCCAGTGGCACACTGGACAGGAGCTGACCGCCTGTCCCCTCGTGCCATCAGTCTGCTCACGGACGACAC